TGGGTAAGGCAGGGCTTCAGGAGCTGGGGAAGGTGAAACTAGGCCATCAACACCCAGTAAGCCCTCTGTGGCCCAGACTGATGCATACACCCAAGTGAGTCTGTGTGGTCCCTTGAAATTCAGAGCAAAGAGCTTTTGCCACTGAGAGGCCACTCACAGGTAAATAATTGGCCCTCCCATTAGGCTTGGCTTCCCGAGCATTTTCTAGAGGGAGTGAGGTAACAGTCCCCTTACTGGCAGAATGCGTTAAAAGAAAGAAAGGCAGAGTGCTTCCTTTCCCAAACCTGTAACCCTGTTTCAGGTCCAAAGTGGGGCTGAGGAACTAGGGTAACCTGGCTACAAACAGGCAAGTGTCTTCCTGCCTAGGCAGTGCTCTCACTATGGTGGATACAGTCTAGTCATTGCCCTTGGGCACATCCCAAGCCCCTGACACCCGTGCCCGGCAGCACTGTGGGGTTGCCCTGTAGCTTCTAGGCTGACCCTGCACCCTGTGGGGCGGGGCAGGCACCTCGGAGTTGAGGATTTACTCCCTGCGCTAACCCAGGCTGGTGTGGGCAGGTGGTCTGGGAGCACACTCCTGAATACAGTTCACTAACAGTGCAGCGATGAGCATGGCTGACCTAGAATGGGCTGGGAGAGACTTTGCTCCCGATGGAAATGGCTACAAATCAAACACCATTGATCCTGAAAAAAAAAAAAATGTGTGGCTGGAGATGACCTTGGGGGTTAGGGGTTAGAGGGATGGGTGGGACTCCCGCCTGGCTCTGGGGGTCCATGAGAGGGTGGGGTGGCAGAAGGGGGCACAGACCGTGGGAGACGACTACGGCTCTCAGATTCATAAAGAACCCCATGCTGCCCTTTAAACTTGCCATGAAGTCAAGGAGAACGGGGTGGGGTGGGGAGAGAGGCAGGGTTAATTTCGGGTTAAAGTTTAGTTTCATAATCCAAGTTATAAAAAGAAAGAAACTGAACGGAGAAAACAACAACCAACAACACTCAAAAATCTCAAGAGTTTTCTTTTATCTTTTCCCCAACCCCAGGCACAGGTAGGGCTGAGGCTTGTTTATAAGGATACCAAAAAGCACTCAAGTTAAAAAACTAAATGGCACAGGGAGACACGAGGCAGCTGTGCACCCCGCCCCCAGGGCCCAGGGCTGGGGGGACCGAGGGACACTGGCCAGAGGGCAGGTGGGGCCTTTGGACACTGGCTGTGGTGAGCAGAAGCTCAGGCAGGGGGCCCCACTCTCTGGACCTGCCTGCCAGTCTGCCCACTTGCCAGCTCTCTGGCAAACTGCCCCTCGGCAACCCCTGAGAACTCCCTAGCCCCCTCCAAACAAAACCCCAGTGGATGATTCGGGGGAGTGGGTCCTTTGTAGCTCGAGGCAGTGCCAGTTTGCATGGAACGGATTTTTACTGAAGTTTTCTAATGGGCCTCACTGTGCCAACTTTTCATCACCCAGGGTGTGGGTTCTTGGCATTTGCCCTCTGGGCTTTTAATGCTCTATTTCCTGGTACCTTCACCAGCCCCCCACCCTGCCCAGCCCCACCCTCCTCAGAGCCCTGTGACATCAAACTAGGCGCTTCCCTGGGTGCTCCAGAGCCCTGTCCGTGGGGCGTAGGGGGCAAGAGCTGCAAACCATGACCACTCAGTTCAGGGAGCAGGGGTACAGAGGGAGCCCAGTGCACAGCGGAAGCCCTGCTCGCCTGGAAAGGCAGAAAGCATTTTGGGGAGAGGGACAAAAGGGACCCCGGACAGCCTGGACATGTCCCAGCTCTGGCCTGACCCCATGGTAATGCTGGGATAGTGTTCCCATGTCACTTGAGGGGTTCCAGACATCTAAAAGGTGGGCTTTGGAGACCGAAGGACTGGAGCAACCTCACGGGACACAAGGCCCAATTCCCTTGGCAGCTGGAGCCGAGGAGTCTGGCTAAGAAGAGTCTGGGAGGCACAGCGGCTCCGGAAACAGCAGCTTCATTTACTGAGGCTCAGTGCTGGCCCTATGGCTGCTTTCAGGGGCTCTGGGGGTTTAGCCAGCATCCAGCAAGCCCACTTGCCAGTGCAGCAGGGACCGCTCCCCCCCCGGACCTCCTACCCTGACACCATAGCCCTGACGGTTCCAAGTTGCTACCCTGAGCAAAAACGAAGCTGCCTCCACCCCACGGCCCTCAGCAAGTGCTTCTCACCTCAGGAAGCTCCCCCTAGAAGTCATAATAGAAGGAAAAAAAAAAAAAAAACCTCAAACATTGGAGCTAGACAAAAATCAAAGACAAAAAAAGGGCCCTCCATAGGATGATGTCTGATCCCTGAACAAAGCCTGAGAACCCCTGGGGAGCGGAGGCCACGTCTCCTACTGTTTGGAGTTGCCTGCCGGGTTTAGCATGGTACCAAGTTCAGGGTAGGCACTCAACAGACCCTCCCTGAATGTCTCCCTGTGTTTCCCTATAAGGGAATGCAGTTGAGCTCGTGCCGACCTGCAGTAGTTGAGGCTGCAGGAGCATCCTTTTCCCCTGGGGAGGAACTGGGGTGGGTAAGGCAGGGCTTCAGGAGCTGGAGAAGGTGAAACTAGGCCATCAACACCCAGTAAGCCCTCTGTGGCCCAGACTGATGCATACACCCAAGTGAGTCTGTGTGGTCCCTTGAAATTCAGAGCAAAGAGCTTTTGCCACTGAGAGGCCACTCACAGGTAAATAATTGGCCCTCCCATTAGGCTTGGCTTCCCGAGCATTTTCTAGAGGGAGTGAGGTAACAGTCCCCTTACTGGCAGAATGCGTTAAAAGAAAGAAAGGCAGAGTGCTTCCTTTCCCAAACCTGTAACCCTGTTTCAGGTCCAAAGTGGGGCTGAGGAACTAGGGTAACCTGGCTACAAACAGGCAAGTGTCTTCCTGCCTAGGCAGTGCTCTCACTATGGTGGATACAGTCTAGTCATTGCCCTTGGGCACATCCCAAGCCCCTGACACCCGTGCCCGGCAGCACTGTGGGGTTGCCCTGTAGCTTCTAGGCTGACCCTGCACCCTGTGGGGCGGGGCAGGCACCTCGGAGTTGAGGATTTACTCCCTGCGCTAACCCAGGCTGGTGTGGGCAGGTGGTCTGGGAGCACACTCCTGAATACAGTTCACTAACAGTGCAGCGATGAGCATGGCTGACCTAGAATGGGCTGGGAGAGACTTTGCTCCCGATGGAAATGGCTACAAATCAAACACCATTGATCCTGAAAAAAAAAAAAATGTGTGGCTGGAGATGACCTTGGGGGTTAGGGGTTAGAGGGATGGGTGGGACTCCCGCCTGGCTCTGGGGGTCCATGAGAGGGTGGGGTGGCAGAAGGGGGCACAGACCGTGGGAGACGACTACGGCTCTCAGATTCATAAAGAACCCCATGCTGCCCTTTAAACTTGCCATGAAGTCAAGGAGAACGGGGTGGGGTGGGGAGAGAGGCAGGGTTAATTTCGGGTTAAAGTTTAGTTTCATAATCCAAGTTATAAAAAGAAAGAAACTGAACGGAGAAAACAACAACCAACAACACTCAAAAATCTCAAGAGTTTTCTTTTATCTTTTCCCCAACCCCAGGCACAGGTAGGGCCGAGGCTTGTTTATAAGGATACCAAAAAGCACTCAAGTTAAAAAACTAAATGGCACAGGGAGACACGAGGCAGCTGTGCACCCCGCCCCCAGGGCCCAGGGCTGGGGGGACCGAGGGACACTGGCCAGAGGGCAGGTGGGGCCTTTGGACACTGGCTGTGGTGAGCAGAAGCTCAGGCAGGGGGCCCCACTCTCTGGACCTGCCTGCCAGTCTGCCCACTTGCCAGCTCTCTGGCAAACTGCCCCTCGGCAACCCCTGAGAACTCCCTAGCCCCCTCCAAACAAAACCCCAGTGGATGATTCGGGGGAGTGGGTCCTTTGTAGCTCGAGGCAGTGCCAGTTTGCATGGAACGGATTTTTACTGAAGTTTTCTAATGGGCCTCACTGTGCCAACTTTTCATCACCCAGGGTGTGGGTTCTTGGCATTTGCCCTCTGGGCTTTTAATGCTCTATTTCCTGGTACCTTCACCAGCCCCCCACCCTGCCCAGCCCCACCCTCCTCAGAGCCCTGTGACATCAAACTAGGTGCTTCCCTGGGTGCTCCAGAGCCCTGTCCGTGGGGCGTAGGGGGCAAGAGCTGCAAACCATGACCACTCAGTTCAGGGAGCAGGGGTACAGAGGGAGCCCAGTGCACAGCGGAAGCCCTGCTCGCCTGGAAAGGCAGAAAGCATTTTGGGGAGAGGGACAAAAGGGACCCCGGACAGCCTGGACATGTCCCAGCTCTGGCCTGACCCCATGGTAATGCTGGGATAGTGTTCCCATGTCACTTGAGGGGTTCCAGACATCTAAAAGGTGGGCTTTGGAGACCGAAGGACTGGAGCAACCTCACGGGACACAAGGCCCAATTCCCTTGGCAGCTGGAGCCGAGGAGTCTGGCTAAGAAGAGTCTGGGAGGCACAGCGGCTCCGGAAACAGCAGCTTCATTTACTGAGGCTCAGTGCTGGCCCTATGGCTGCTTTCAGGGGCTCTGGGGGTTTAGCCAGCATCCAGCAAGCCCACTTGCCAGTGCAGCAGGGACCCAGGGGACAGCCTAGCATTTCTCTGGCTGGCTCAGGGACCCAAGGAAGGGAGCCTATTGAATTAGCAAAAGCCAAGGAGGGAAATGACCACAGGTACCTGAAGCTAGTTGTCAGGTGACGGGACGGTCAAAGTCAAAAAGAAACTCAGGTTTTTTTTTTTTTTTTTTTTTTCTAACAGAGAATAATAATCTGCCTTTGGTTTGCAGTCCCATGACTGTGATTGACCCCACTACAAGTGCCCTGGGTGGCCAGGCCTTGCCCGCGCCTCCCTGTCCACCCCCTCCCCGGGGCTGTGGTGAGAGTGGTGTTGGACAGATGCAGCCACACAGATCCGACAGGGCCTTGACCTCCCCCTGCACACTGGGGGCATGCCTGGGAGTCGCCTGTCCCATACACCTTCCTACCTGATCCTCTTGCTGCCGCCACCGCCGCTGCTGCCACTGGTCCATAAGCCGCTGCTGGGAAGCCTGGCCAGGAGAGAGAGGAGCCTGTGTCATGGAGGAATCCTTGAAACGGCCAGGCACAGACCTAGGTCACGGGCCACACAACCCCCGCCCTCCACACAAAGACAGGAGTGGGAAGGGATTTTCACAGGGCATCTTTTGAGAGGGACACAGAGTAGTGGCTGTCAGGCTTCTAGAAGGCACAACATCTTTAGGTGCATTTGATTCTCACCCATTTGTCACCCCAGAAGCTGGTTCTAGAAGGCCTACAACAATAATTCAAGAATTGTAGGAGGAATTTTTTTCTTGAGAAGCGGGGTTGAGCTCCCTGTTGACCCTGCATTGACACACGGTGGCTCCCCTGGCGTTGTCTTCAGTAGCACTGAGCATGGCTGGGCTGGCCCACCGCTCCTTGCAGAGATCGTGGCAGAGTGGACAGCCTTGTGTCACAGGCAGGAGGCACTTGGGACGGCCTCTTGACAGAGCAGGCACCTTGGCCAGGAGCTGGCTTAATTCCAGCTGTTCTCTGAAGGCTCTGCAGGTTAGCGTAGCCTTTTTAACTCCAGACTTTTGTCAAAACATCAAGTCAGCAGCATCACAATCCCAGGCCCAAGGGTGAAGCATTTGGGGGTCCCAGGCGATTGCATACACATGGAGCCAGTCGGGAAAGGGAGCGCGGGGCTGCAGGGGTCTATGTGGAGTGAACCCTATGGCTTTATTTGATCTCTCAGTGTTTCAACCTCCTGAGGCAATTGTGGGAATTTAGATGTGGCTCTTCGGTCTGAGCCCCATGGACCAGATGAAACTGGCACTAGAGGGTTTCCTAGGGGTCCCTGGAGTTCTTCTTGATCAAGGCTTTATGCTATCTAAAAATGCACCAGGCAGCAAGGCTGTCCCAGCAATGGGAACAATAGTCAGAAGGGCCAAGGTAACTTCTTGTAGCTGCAGATTCCAGATGAAGTATGCCAAGTCCCCCCTCTCCGGGGCTTCTCTCAGCCACCAGCACGTGCACACACAGCCTCGCGCTGGGACACACACAGATACACTCCCATACATATAAAGACAAACATCCTCTGCCATCCAGGCAGATGCTTGGAGGCCTGACCCCAAGACCCATTTCCAATGACTGTGGTTTTAAATGATGTGCCAGAAGCCAGCTGCAAACTGAATCAACAGCCCCCAGCAGGGCTGCTCAACTTTAGCCACTGAGCCTTTTAAACAAGGAATTTCTACAGGACGAGAGGAAGACATGCACCGTCAAGGGCAGGGAGCAGAGGAGGGAAGAAAGCAGAGACAAAGCTCCCCCAAACAGAGCGAACTAGAAGCCCACTAAACTCTAAGACTATTGTCCTAGCTACACGGTACTACTGAAGGGAAAGAAGTTCAAAGGGGAACATGCTACTCTAAAAAGGTCAGGCTAAGCTACTTAAAATGTCAATGAAAAGAGACATACTTGCATTTAAATATGGTAATAGGGCTGTTGAAGGGGGAAAAAGAAAGATCCAGGTGAAATAAATGTACGGTTGTCCCTGGCTGCAGGTCTCCAAGCGCCCATGGAGACGATGCATGGTGACTGGAGGCCCTCCCTTCCCCAGAAGGCAGCAATGAACCCAGAGGGAGACCAAGGAAGGGACCCCCAATCAAGTTCTCTCCCCATTTCTTCCAGGCAGGATCTAGATTTCTGAAGATGAGGGTCCTGGCAGAAATTGCTGAAGAAAAATAAGGAAGAAGTCAAGTTATTTCTCTCTGTCCCAACCCCCAGGACACCGAGGCTTCTGCTGCTGTAAGAGCAAGGCCCAGGAGACGCTGGAGGGAGAGGATGCAGGCGAGTCATTCCTTTGCACTCCTTACCGTGCACTTAAAACAGCGGGTTTCCTCTGAAGCACGGAAAGACTTGGGGGAGGGGGAAGGAGGAACGAAGTGGGGAGGGGAGTGTAGTCAATAAAAAGACTTGTTAAAAAAAGGTCCATTTTCTGGAATTGAGTGCATTTTGGACAAAAAGTCTGAAAGAGGAAGAAAAAAAATACTTATCCAAGAAAGGAAATCCATTATCCTTAATCTCAGATAAAGGCTCCTGCTGGAGGTGGAGCATCAGACGTTGCTGAGGGCTGGAATTTTATCTCCACCCTGGAGACGGAGGGTGTGAGAAGAGGGGCTGAAGAAGCAGGGCTGCCCGGTCTGTCCCTCACACAGCACAGGCAGCAGCTCCATAGTCACCACCCCCACTGCCTCTGTGCCCTCCATCTGAAACACCAGGGCCATGCCGACACCTGGCCTAGCCCCTTGGGAGCCTCCTGGTGGGGAGGGGACGAAGCTTGCACCAGCATCCTGTACAGCGGTCCTCCTCGCCCCCTTCACCTGCTCCTCATCATCCCCTTCCTGTTCTATTAGGCCGTCCAGCCTCACCAGTCAACCCTCACCTGCCAAATATGTTTTCCATATGACCTGGCAGACAGGCCCCTGATACTGAGTTCCCACGGTCAGGTCTCTTCTTGGTGGCTGGGCTTGTGGGAGATGGGCCAGCACAGATACAAGGGGTGTGTGTGTTGGGTGTGTACGTGTTAAGTGTATGTGTGTCAGGTGTGTGTGTAATGTGTGTTTGTTGGGTGTATGTGTGTTGGGTGTATGTGGATGTGTGTGTTGAGTGTATGTATGTATTGGATGTATGTGTTGGGTGTGTTGAACGTGTTGTGTACATGTGTTGGGTGTATGGATGTGTGCATTGAGTACATGTGTGTTATGTGTTGTGCATATGTGTTGGGTATATCTGTATGTATGTTGAGTATATGTATGTGTTGTGTGTTATGTTTGTTGAGTATATGTATTGTGTACATGTGTTGGGTGTATGTGGATGTGTGTGTTGAGTATATGTATGTGTTGTGTGTCTGTGTTTTGTTGAGTGTATGTATTGTGTACATGTGTTGGGTGTATGTGGATGTGTGTTAAGTTTATGTACTGTCTCTTATACACATCTAGATGTGTATAAGAGACAGGTGTATATGTACTGGGTGTGTGTGTTGTGTGTTGAGTGTATGTATATAGTGTGTGTGTTGTGTGTGTGTTGTGTTTGTTCAGTGTATGTATTGTGTACATGTGTTGGGTGTATGTGGATGTGTGTTGAGTGTATGTACATATTGTGTGTGTTGTGTGTTGAGTGTATGTACGTATTGCGTGTGTGTGTTGTGTGTTGAGTGTATGTGGATGTGTGTTAAGTGTATGTATGTATTGTGTATGTGTTGCATGTTGAGTGTATGTATTGTGTACATGTGTTGGGTGCATGTAGATGTGTGTGTTGAGTACACGTGTGTTGTGCATGTGTTGGGTGGACTAGGGCCACCCCAGCTGGGGCTGCTGGAGAACAAAGAAGCATCCTGGTGGCCTGAGTCTAAGGCTGTGGTGACAGAGGGCATAGGCAGTCTCCAGGACAGGCCCTTCGTAGGACACAGGAGGCACCTGAGGACCGGGCGGTCCCTGGTGGATACGACCCTCTGGGGCTGGACCTGGGAGGGCTGGGAAGTACAGGGGAGAGAAGCCTAGCAGAGTGGCCTCGTGGCCCTGTCTTCGGCATTTCTCCTCAGGCTCTGAGGAGGCAGGGGTCACCTGGGACAGGATACTTCCTTGGGAAACCAGGGGCTGGGTTATCAAGTAGGGGACTGTCTCAGCAGAGGGTGCTGGTGGGAAGACTGCAGCGAACCAGGCAGGTGTCCTGGCAGGGCTCAAGGCTTCTTCACAGGGCCTTGGGCCAAGCAAAGACGTGGCAGAGCTCCTTGTTCCACAGGTGCCCACAGCTGCCCAGCACCCCACTGCTCAGAGTGGGAAATGATCACCCCTCCACTGCTGGAAATGTAGCGAAGGGAGGCGTCCCTCCTCAACATAGCTTCCCTGGCCAATGTGTGAAGGGGCCACCAGACTCCTCCTCCTGAGGCAGGGCAGCACAGCAAACAGCAGAGCACACAGACTTGGAGCCTGTCTGGGTTCGATGTCTGGCTCAGTCACTGACTAGCTGTGTGACTTTGGGCAAGATGCTTATGCTCTCTTTGCCTTGATGTCCCCAACTGTAAAGGAGATGACCATTTTAGTGCAGGATTAATATATGCAAAGTGCTTAGATGAATGCCTGGCAGTGAGTAAGCCTAATTGGTGAGAGCGTGGTGGCTCATGCCTGTAATCCCAGCACTTTGGGAGGCCAAGGTGGGCGGATAACTTGAGGTCAGGAGTTCGAGACCAGCCTGGCCAACATGGTAAAACCCTGTCACTACAAAAAATAAAATAAAACAAAATACAAAAATTAGTCAGACGTGGTGGCACATGCTTATAATCCCAGCTTCTTGGGAGGCTGAGGCATGAGAATCGCTTGAACCTGGGAGGTGGAGGTTGCAGTGAGCCGAGATCGCGCCACTGCACTCCAGCCTGGGTGACAGAGCAAGACTCTCTCTCAAACAAACAAACAAACAAACACTCTTTGGCCAGGTGCAGTGGCTCACGCCTGTAATCCTAGCACTTTGGGAGCCCGAGGTGGGCAGATCACCCAAGGCTGGGAGTTCAAGACCAGCCTGGCCAACAT